GAGTGACCAAGAGCCCAGGATCTTACAGTACTGTGGGGCAGGCTTCACCTCACGGCCTACCAAGGCTGGCCATGACCCTGGGCGATTGTCCCCCTGGCTTTGACGTCTGTGGGCGAGCTTTCCACACCTCCTGGAGACCCTCCCTAAGGGAACCCTACTTCATTTGCAAAAAAGGAGGCCTGGTGGTGCCCGTCCATAATCCCAGCGACTCTGGAGGTTGAGGTAGGAGGATTGCCATCTCAAGGTCAGCCTGAGCAACTTCATGAGACCTTGTCTCAAAATAAAAAATAAAAAGGGCTGGGGATGTTGCTCCATGGTAAAGGGCCCCTGGGCTCAATCCCCAGTACAAAAAAAAAAAAAAAAAAGGGAGGCCGCCTCTGAGCACGCTGGTTTCAGGAGGGACTCTTAGGGTGTGTGCTGACCCCTCAGCCTGGGGACACACACCATCCTGGACACCAGAAGTCCTTCCAAAACCCCCAGCATCTCCTCTGACCATTCTTACATTTCCTAGACTGGAAAACTCACTCAACAGCCCACTCCATGAAGTCACTCTGCCAGGGCGCGCAGGCTGCGGGGACATTAACGGGTAGCATCCTGTAAGGTCAGGAGCTGGTGCTGCCTAGGCTCCAGCTACCTGGGATGGACTTGCGCTGCTCCATAGGTCTGAACAGTAGGCCAAAGATCCCTGCATGGTGTCCAGTCGGGGGTGTGTCACAAGACCTGGGAGAGTTGGGAAGTGGGCAGTGAGCTCTCAGGGACCGGGACATTGGCTGGGCCAACTCTAAAGCATTTTGCTGTTTTCAGGTGACTCCTATCAAGTGCTGGTATCTGAGGTCTCACTTACACCCTGAGGGGAGAAAGGGAGAGGTCTTCCTCTCCTCCACAAAAGGCACACGGGGAGGTGGGGGCTCTGCTGTGCTGTCCCATTTCTCAGGGTTCTCATCCAGCATCTCCCCAAATCACTCCTCAGATTTGAATCCCCTGGAGACACAGGAAACCCATAGATGAACCAGGATCACACTGGCTTCCAGTCTCAGCCTGACCTCTAGGGGATGGTTGGGACACCGCAGGGATCAGGACCTGTCCCTGGCAGGCCCCCACCAACATCCCCCACCTCCCCAAGACCCTGAGCCCGGAAAGGGAGTCACTCTGCTTGGCCGGCTGGCTTCCCCACCTCCCAGCACTCAGGAGCCCACCAGAAGGAACAGAGCCCAAGTCACCCCGGCCGCACTGCTGAGCAGAACAGACGGGACAGCCACTGTGTCCACCCATCCACTGCCACTGGGACGGAGCCACTTAGAGGAGCTGGAGGAGCTACCTGTTAGGGCCAGACCTATGTGGAGGATGGAAAGGAGCTGGCCAGGGAGAGGCTTAGAACCAGAAGACACACCCTACCAGGGCAGCCCCCCCCCCCCCCCGAAAACGAAGGGAAGTACTATGGTTGTGAAGTGACTGACAGGGTCCTTCTCCTTCCCCAACCTCCAGAGTTGGAATGAAACACAACACTGTTTTACAGAGAGGAGCGCCCTCTTGGAGGTCAACTCTGCACCTATTTATTTTTTTTTCTCTCTCATACTTACTCTATTTCTTTCTTTTTTCCCTTCTTCTTCTTCTTCTTCTTTTTTTTTTTTTTAAGGTGCTGGAGATTGACCCCAGGGGTACTCTACAACTGAGCTACTTCTCTAGATTTTTTAAAATTTAAAAAAAAATTTTGTGACGGGGTCTCATTGAGTTGCCTAAAGCCTCCCTAAATTGCTGAGGCTGGCTTTGAACTCAAGGTCCTCCTGCCTCAGCCTTCTGAGCTGTTGGGATCACAGATGGATGTCACCATGCCCAGCACTTTTTAAAATTTTTGAGAAAATTAGGGTCTCACTAAATGGCCCAGGTGGTCTCAAACTTGGGGTCCTCCTGCCTCAGCCTCCTGAATTGCTGGGATTATAGTCATGTGCCACCGTGCCTGTCTTCCAAGCCTGTTTCTCACCTTTCCTCCATGCACCATCTTTTCTGGAAATGTGGATGGCATAGCATGGGGCCCAGGAGAGCAGCCGAAGACTGCAGGGCATGCCTCTGCTCCTGGGTACTACCGCGTTAGCCCAAGGCCTCAGCTCCACTCTGCCCACCAGCTCCTAGGCATAGAGCTTTATTTTGATATAATTTTAAAGTAGCAGTATCCAAGGATAAAAGGGAAAATGCAAACTGTAACTTCGGCACCATTTTCTCTCACTAGTCCACAGCACCAGGAGGCAGGAACGGTCGCGCACCACCACTGTTTCCTTGCTGAATTGTCACAGCAGACCCAAGGTTGGTGCGGAGGGCCCTGCTTTTACACCTGTGGAAACAGGCTCCGAGGGGTTAAGAGGAACTTGCCCAGGGCTGCAAGGATAGTCTGGTCAGAGTGAGGTGTGGACCTAGCTCTGGATGACCCCATGGCTTATCGCCCCCCTCTGAACCCTGTTCAAATTCCACCAAGTGCCCACCCCGAGAACTCCTGGAGCACACCACTTGCTCAGGTTCAGGGTCCCCTGTCACGGTCCTGTTGACGGTTAGCCCCAAACACATATTTCCCTGACAGGTGCTGGGCCTGCAAAAACAGGCCAGGAGCCCTCCCCACGGGCCCTGCTTGTACCTGGAGCCAGTTACCCTGACCCATCCCCAAGGGCTCATGTTTGGAGCACCACACCCTGAGGTCCTGCCACCTGACTTCTACCCTGGTCCCACACCTGCTGCCTGGCTTTGGTCTCTGCCACCTCTGAACTGTCAGATAAAATCTCTAGGAGGGGCTGGCACTTGCCTTGCACATGTGGAGCCCTGGGTTCGATCCTCAGCACCACATAAAAATAAATAAAAACAAAATAAAGATATTGTATCCATCTATAACTGAGGCCTTTGGTTTGGTCAGAGCTCCTGCACTAGGCCCAACAGACTAAGCCAAAACAGACGTGCTCATGCTGACATCTGATGCCACTAAACTGAAACTAAGTTGTTATCTGACCTTCCCAGAAATCAGGAGAGAGATGATAATCCAGTCCCCAAACAGGCCAGTTTTAGTCAGCATGATAAGGAAGTCCCCTCTGCTTTAATCTTTTCACAAAAGTAAACTGAAGCAGCCTGATGTTGACCCACCAGGTTTTTTTCTATTGTTCTGTCGCCTTATTTCTTAACTTACAAACCCCAGCTCTGCTCTTGAGTGTGGGCTCTCAAACAGCACATTAAAGCCAATTAGATCTATGTATAAACCCCACCCTCTGCTCCCCAGTCCTGGGAATTGAATCTAGGGGCACTCTGCCACTGAGCTATATCCCCAGCCCTTATTTTTCATTTTGAAACAGGGTCTTGCTAAGTTGCTTAGGGCTTTGTTAAGTCGCTGAGGCTGGCCTCAAACTTGCCATCCTCCTGCCTCAGCCTCGGAAGTTGCTGAGATTATAGGCATGCACCTCCACAACCAGTTTCTCCCCACAACACACTTTTTTTTTTTTTTTTGCAGTGCTGGGGACCAGGACCACCACAAGCTGTGAGCACTCTAACACTGAGCTACATCCCCAAACCTACAAATAATTCATTGTAGTTTTGTCTTTTGACAGAGCCTTGGCCTTCTCTTCACTTGGCTATACCCAGCTTATGGTCCTTCTCATGGGCTCCTCCTTTTTCACTCTTGCCCCAAAGAACCCAGGGAGAGCCCCAGGAATCCACAAAGAGCTTGAGTGAACCATGGTGACCTGGACCTCCTTTAGCTATAAAAAATACTTGTGATTTTGGATGTTGTTTGTTTTTCTGAGCGTGTGTGGGTGTCCCGATGAGGCACCAACCAGAGCTGGATAAGAGGCTTTGGAGCCTGCCTGGTTGAGAAACCAAAATACTACTCCTCTAGCTCCAGGGGTCCTTCAGCCAGAAGGGACCCCAGAGATTGTCCACAAGTGCACCTTAAACTGTTTCTTTGTAGGATGACACTACAGTGTCTAGAAAAAACAGTTCAGTGTTTAATAGTAAACACACCACCCGGAGAAAGCAAAACAAAGCCACAAAGACTGTGGTGCCACAAGATTTGGTCCTTATCCTCACTTCCTGGCACAGAACTCCTAAAGCCCTTGGAATTTCCTGATGTGAGTGACTTCTAGTCCTGACGACCCTCTTTTCTCCCACGCTTGAGTTTATGCTATTAAAGTCACTCAAAGTGGGACCTCCACATGGCTCAGGGTGGAGCCCGTCACCAGAAGGACCACACTGGGGGTCGGAAGGGGAGAACTTCCAGGCCCTCCTACTAGGGGAAGAGAGGAATCAGGGACTGGGTTATAAAGACACTAGAAGGGCCAGGTTCTGAGAGCTTCGAGGTTGGTAAACAGGACAAGGAGCCGGGGCAGCTGCTGTGCCTACAAAGAGGGCTTGGAAGGCGCACCAGCCTTTCTCCACAATGGTCCTGTGCATGTCTTCCATTTCTGAATTGTACCCTTCAGGATACACTGCTAATCCTAAGTATAGTGTTTTCCCAAGTTGTTCTGGTGAAGGGGGTTGTGGGGAGCAGAGAATGTGTAGTTTGCTGGGCAGAAGTGAGGGTATTACGGGATTGACTCTTGATTCCGCAGTAACTCTGGGTAGTGGCAGACGGAATTGAATTGCTGGACATCCAGTTAGTGTCAGAGAACTGGAGAATTCGTTGTTATACGGGGGAGGGGGGCCGCACACGCAGGGACTCATCAGCTCAAAGGACGAAGGAACAGGAGCAAAGGAAAAGATTTCAACCCTATCTGCCAGACCTCAGCCCACCACCTCCCCTCCATGAGACTCAGTTTCTCCTCAGCACCAGGGGGCGGAGGAAGATACTCTGTCGGGGCTTCCAGAGGGACTTCACTGCCCCTGTCCAAAAACCGATTTCTTGACTTTGATTCCACAGGCTCCCCAGAGGAAGGAGCTGGGTCCTCCTGGACACCACAAAATGAAGCCAAGGCGAGAGGAGGGGAAGGACGAGCAGAGCCCCCACAGAGGCTCGGGCCACCGCCTCTTACCTGCTCCACACAGTCCGGGATCTCTGACGCGCATGGCAGCGTCCCCGCACTCTCCAAGGACAGCACATCCTTCAGCAGCTCCTCGCACCCTGTGGACAGGCAGACAGACAGACAGTGAGAGGCCAGAGCCTCAGCCTGGCACAGCTGCTCTGCTTCTGCCTAGAGGGCCTTGCGGGAAGGGCTGGATCCCTAAGAGACAGGCTGACCACACAGGCGGAAGGAGCACCGCAGCGGCGGGAGGCTGGGCAGGGCACTGCAGCGGCTCTTCACCCAGACATCTTTCTCCTGGGACTAACCCAGTGAGCAGCGCACAGTGGCCTCCCGATGCAGGGGCAGAGGGCAGAGGCCTCCCCGGAGGAGGGGATGTAGGACAAGCTTCTCTGCTTGCAGCTCCCCCGGGCACATCCCCGAGGCTGCGTGCCCCAACTAAGGCAGCAAACTCCAGAGTCTACCTAGGGCCCCCCAGGATGGCTCCACCTCCTGCTGACCAGCTACACAGGTGGCCTCCCTGCCATTTTGCCTGAAGTTATACTGGGCAAAATGCCTGGCACAGGCACATGGCAGGTGCAGTCCTCGGTGGCCTAAAGACTGGGACAAATCCACTGCGAAGACCTTTGCTGGGGCCTGTGTGCGGTCCTCCACCAGCCCCTCAGCACTTCCCTTGGGCCTCCTTCCTTCCTCCCCCCAACTCCAAAGGTGGAGCCTGGAAGGGACGGTCACCCTGATCTGACCACCCAGACTGGAAAACAAAGCTCCCTGCTGAGGCCACAGGACTTCTGGGGACTCCTAGAAGTAACTGCTGTCTCCTGGCAGCCAGGGGGAGGCCTCAGCAGTCCACCCGGCTGGTGACTAAGCCACCTTCTCCCCACAAGCAGCGCTAAGTTACAGGGAACAGGTTCTGGTTTCTGGGCGTTTCTCACAACTGACCAGTGGAAAGGAGGGCTTTCACGTGGATTCCTTATCAGGGTGGGGCAGGAATGAAAGGAAAGAATTGGGAGGGACTAAAGGAAGGAAAACAACCAGGAACCCTAGCAAGAGGGGGGAGGGGTCAGGGGGGAGGGAAGGCGGCCAGCTCTACCCAGGTGCACCCAGAACTGCATTTAAAGCACAGTCCCCCCTTGCCCTGGGAGTTTGGTCATCCCAGAGGGGAGCCTTTCTCTCATGGGAAGGACTAAAAGGACCATCACTCTGGTCCAGGCACCCCCGACTCTGGGTATGGGATGCTGTGGCATGGTGGGAGCCGAAGACCCCCCCCCTCCTGTGGGTAGCCAGGGACAGAGCCCACTTCTGAGGCCCCTCAGGGCTCTGAACCCCGTGGGGAGGAATCCCGGCTGCAGCCCAAATGGCACTGGCCATTCCTTCTGGACGGGACCAAGACAGCCCCAGAGGACCCGCCCCAGGGCTTCACCTTTCATGGCGAACACCCCACGGCAGAAGTCCTTGAAGTTGATTCTCCCCAGGTCGTTGGGATCCAGATATTTCACAAGTTTTTCTACCTGTGGGAAGGAAAGAGGACAGGTGTGAGCAAGCCCAGGGCACTGGGGCAGGAGGCTGAGCTGGAGGGGAGCCACGAGGAGGCCAGTGTGGCCAGCCTGGTCCCCCTGGGCTTTACATCAAGCCCCTGGCAGCTGTGGGCTCGCCTCATTCTGCCCAGGGCAGGAGGCACAGCAAGTGAAGAAAACAAACACTGTAGCTTCTCAGAGTTCAGGGGTGTGTCCCCCGGAACTCCCTCCCCCAAGCTGGCCCCACAAAGATGGCCATTGAAAGCAGAGGCTCCCTGTGAGGTTTAAAAATAGTGGTTTCTGGGCTGTGGCTGAGGCTCAGTGGCAGAGCGCTTGCTCACCTGTGTGAGGCACTGGGTTCAATCCTCAGCACCACAAAAAAATAAAACAAAGGTATTGTGTCCACCTACAACTAATTTTTTTTTAAATAGTAGGTTGGTTTTTTTTTTTTGTACAGAACAAGCATAAACCCCTTTAAAAAACTTCTAGAAACTCTGTTTCCCACTTTTCTTTGAAAAGACATAGTTTTAACCACATTTAGCAAAAAAGAATTTCTGTATTTTATAGTTCTTAAGACCCTTGGTCAAATTTTCCTTTGCCAACAAGGAGATATTAAGTAACACATGTATAATAACATGTGGATAAATTATTTAAAATTACAAATTATACAAGGTTTTGCCTCAAACCTTATATAATTTGTAAATAATTTTTTAAATAATTTTTTAAACAAGGATTGTCAAGATGGTGGTGTTGTAGAAGTGACATCACGCAGGGAATTTCTGGGCTTTGGCTGGTGGTCTTTGTTTTGTTCCAGGGTCTCGCTAAGTTGTTGAGGCTGGCCTCAAACTTGAGATCCTCCAGCCTCAACCTTCGGAGTACCTGCAACTCCAGGTGCGCACCACCTCTCCAGGCAATGATGATGGTCTATTTCTTGGACCAAGTGCTAATGACATGGGGGAGAAGTCTCTGAGCCAACACTTCCAATCAGTGCATTCTTCTGATCCAGTAAGAAGTGTTTTAAAAGAAATTAGGAAACAAGGTTTAGCCCAAGGGAGTTGGCTGCTCCTGGTGTTGGGGAGTCTGTCTCCCACACAGCAGTCATTACATCAGAAAGGCATGTCCGGGCTGGGGTTGTGGCTTACACTTGCCTAGCAGGTGTGAGGATTCTCAGCACCACATACATAAATACAAATTAAATAAATGTCCATCAACAACAACAAAAAAAATTAAAACAACAAGAAAGAAACACGAGTCCACATGGCCCGGTGTGTGCAGCCCACGTTATTTATGGCTGTAGAAGATTCTGCCCAGTCGCCACACTACCACTTACCCAACTTCCTCTAACAGTCGACACTTGGGTATTTCCAACATTTTGCTATGGAAACTCAGCCGTGGGGTTTCACAGTTGTGTGGATGCCCACTACACTGTGCTTCTCAGATGCTTGCTTCCTCACTGACAGTCACTCCCCACAGCCTCCACAGTCAGGGGACAATCCATTCATGACCGCCTCCAGCACCACTTGCTCAACACCCACCCCTGACCCCATCTTGCCACTGCACAGTTCTGCAGCTTCACTGGGTCTGCTCCCTCTCACCCAACCCACACCCTTGTGGATCCCAACGTAGCTTGTATCCCTACACTACATTCTTTTCCACATCACCCCTTGGATTCACCTGGTCATGGTCATCATTGTCTCCCTCTTGGACTATACAAAACTCCTGATTCAACTACCCTTTTACACTTCCAGCCCCCTCTAATTCATTCTCTACTCCAATTGGAATCCAATCCAGTTATAAAACCACTGGAAGGTGCTTAAAACCTTCCAGCTATTTTCCATTATTTAGGATAAGATACAAACTCCACGGTATGGACCCCGAGTATAAAATCTGCCCCCTTCAGTCCCATCTCCTCCCCATCACTCAACATACTCCAGGCACACTGGCCTTCACCTTCTACCAATGCCTCAAATAAATTAAGCTTTTCAGTCTCAGGGCCTTTGCATGTGCTGATCTCTATGTCTTATTCTGTGTGTTTGTGTTGAGGGGTGGGTATGTGTGAAACCCAGGTCTTTGTGCATGTTAAGCACATGCTCTACCACCGAGCTAAACCCGGGTCGAGGTTAGTTTGTTTTCTTGTTTGTCTTAAAAGAGATGGGGATCTTTCTATATTGCCAGGCTAGCCCCAAACTCCTGGGTTCAAGTGATCTACCTGTTTCAGCCTCCTGAGCTGTTGGGACTACAAGTGTACACCTCTGCACCTGTCTCTGTACTCTATATCCTGAACACCTGTCCTCCCCAGGTGTTCAGGATATAGAGTACATCATCCAGCAACATCAACTCTTCAGGCCTCCTTTTGTACCTCTATTAAATGTCCCCACCCCCAGAAAAGCCCATCCTGACTTCCCCTATCTGATTAGACCCACCCTGCTGCTGCCCTGTCTTGCAACATCCTAAATTTTCCTTCAAACTCTTTGTGCAATTTGTAATTATATGTTTATATGGTGAATTTATATCTTCCCTCTGCAAACTCAGCTCTCTAAGGGCAAAGACTGCTTCTGTTTTGATCACCACTGCATACCTGGTAGCTTGCCATGACTGGCACATAGTAGAAGTTTCATGAATATCTGTTGAATAAACAGATATAAATGGTTCAACAAAACAGCTGACAAATTGCTCTCTGTCAAGATGTCTTAATTTAGTTCTCAATCAGAGCAACTGACTTCAAACTTGCTAGCCCTGGGTATTTTCTCCCATGTTTTTGGCAATGGCCAATTTTGTAAGTACTATCTTTTCTGATTAATTGGAGTCATTCCCCCACCACAAATTTCCAACTCCTGAATTTCAGCTTCTTGACATGTCTTTTCCAAAACTTGTTTCTAAATCAGTCTGTAACTTAATGGCAGCACCTGCACAGAGGTTGTGCGCATGCACACGCACACACACACACACACACACACACACACACACACACACTCATTCATTCAACAAGGGACAACTGAGTACCCTCTCCAGGCCTGACCCTGCTGGGGCTGATGATGGTGGCTGCTGGTCCCACTGGCTCATCACACATGGTCATATGGCCACACCTGTGCACAACCAAACACACACACAGCACACTGACACTCGCCGTTAGGCACCTCGCCCTCCCTCTGGTAGTCACCATCAGCATCCACAGCACAGCAGGCCAGGCCAGGCCAGGCTGTTCCCAGGATTCTCTCCACTGGGGTGCAGATGATGGAAATGAGAGCACCCTGGCAGCCTCGGAGCTCAGTATGCAGGGGGATTCCTGTGCCTGCTGTGACTGTTCACACCAATACAGGCCAACTGGTCCTCCCTCCCACTCTGCTGTCACATGCACCGAAGCCCAGTCATGCTGACAGATCATCTAGTCACGAAGACAATTTTTTTTTTTTTCCTGCCGCCCTTGGGACACTTTTCCAGCATGGCTATTGCAGCAGGGGTCTGAGCTCTGGGCACTGCAGTGGTCTGGCATCGGGGGCCTGGGCCCAGCAGCTCTGGAAGATGAGCCACAGGCACAGAGGCCCCGCCACAGTCACCTCCTCCCTCCTGAGCTTCGAGGCTGTGTTGGAACCTCTGTTCGCTGGCCCTGCTCTTCCACTCTGGTGTGAGTCTGGGGTGAGGGATGGCAGAGGGCTGTGCAATGCCCTCTCTGAGTCTGGTACCTAGTGGGGTCTTGGGAAAGGCCTGCAGAATTTCAGTGGAGGAGGAAGGAGGCTTCTTTTGCCAGCTCCTGCCTGGCAAGAGTTTCCTCAGCACTGTGGCTGCCAATCCTACCCCCACCCAGCCATGGCAGCTTCTGCCACTGCCTGGCAGTGACGTGGCATCAGAGAATAGCTGTGCCCAGGTGCCACCTGCAGGGCTGTGGGGGAGCCCACCACAGTCCCAGCTAGATAGTTCGCCTCCTCTCCTCTCGCCCTCTCCTGGCTAGCATTACAGGTGCTCAGCCCTGCATCCTCTCCGAGTCCAGAGGCTATTCCTTAATTATCTCTGATGCTAGTCAAGGGCAGAGTCTGCCCCAGGGTGCTGGGTGACTGGTGAAGAGCGTCAACTGCAAATGCACCCTAGAGGCTGCAGGGTTCTGTGATCTGTGAGTCCATCACTCCCTGGGGCCGGGAATGGCTGGGGCAGGATGTCCATTCCTCTGCCTCCAAGGAAAGCCAGCCCCCAACAGGTGGGGGCTGGGGTTGTTTGATAATGAGAAGACAGAGTCCTGAGAGCCCCTGGAAGTTCTTGGAGTGCCTCGGAGCTGTGGCCCAGGCTGCAGTTGGGGGTTTGTGCCTGTTGTGACCTCCCTCCCTCCCTTCCTTCCTCCCTTCATTCCTTTTTTATAGCAGTGCTGGGATTGAGCCCTTGCTCTCCCTTCTCTGTGGCTTCTCCCATAGGGCTCTTCAAAGAGTGGAAGTCCCAGAGCCACGGTCACGAAAAGTGCCATGCACACTACAGAACAGCCCTGTAGAAAACAGGGTCATTGCAAAGTTCTTATAACAACACATACTGGTTAGTGTTCCTTCATACGTGACCATAGGCGCCATGACTCTGAATAATGGTGTCATTCTATAGAGAAGTAAGGATCATTCCTGCTGCGCCCACGGAGGGCTCCTCACGAGTCGCAGTGTGGCCCTGATCTCTGGATGTAGTCTCACCTCATCTTCAGAGCAGTGTAAATAATACGATTATAGTCCCCATTTTACAGTTGAGGGAATTGAGGCTCAGCTTAAGCCAAAGTCACCACAGCGGTAACTCCTGAACCAGGTCTCCCTGACCCCCTCTGGAATATCCGCTCTCCACAGCCTTCCTACACCCTGCAAGGTGGGAGACTCTTACAGGGTCATCTTCACTGAAGGCTGATTCAATCCCCCCATCCCTGTGTAGCCAAAGAACTTTATCCCCATGGCTGGGACCCCCACCCGGGCATGGAGGGTCTCTACCTTCCTCAACATTGGTAACCTTTGGCAACGCACCCTGGGGATGCACCTGGCTGAGCAGCCCTTCTCTTCCCAGGCAGGGAAGGGAGTCCCAGGAGGGGAGACGCTTGCCCGATCTCACCCAGGGCAAGCAGCAAATAACCAACCACGGGTGGGGTGCCAGGGTGGCCCTCGGTCCACACACTATGCCCGCTAGGCAGCCCCCAGGCTCCCCCAGGCTCCCCCAGGCTCCAGGCAAAGAGAACACCCCTGGGCCTGGCAGGGAGGACAGACAGGAGCAGCTGTTGTCACTGAAGCACATGCAGCTGGGCTACTGAGCCTACTGCCAGGGAAACTGGTTGTTTCTCTGGCTGTAAAATATTGATCTTTCCTTTTTGGGGCCGCTCAATTACCAGGCTTCCCCTTCTATTTCTGTTGCCTTTCTCTTCAAGCTGATTTCCCCCCATTCATTCCCCGAGGGCAATCTCTAGCTCAGACCAGACGCTGCGCTGCCAAAGCCTCCTTGCTGCTCTCACTGGTTTCCAGCCAGATCCTCCCGAGTGATGCCAGCCACCCACGCCTCCCTCACTTCAGTCTCTGCAGGCTAGAGGGACTCAGCATCCAGCTAGCCTTCTGCCTTCTGAGGTCTCAGCCTCAGAGGGGATAAGCTGGTTTTCTTGCTGTGGCGAGGTTCCCTCTGCATGGTGAGATGCCAGATAAATGTTAGCCGCTCCTATTACTAACCAAATTATTAATTAATAATAGGTAATGCTGCATAACTCTTCCTCTGTGCCAGGCACTGTTCTAAGCCCTCTGTGTAGATTTATTTAAGTCTCACATCCACCTGGGCAGGAGGTACTATTATTACTCCCACTTCGCAGGTGCGGAAATAGAGTAAGGAGCAGGGTTAAGGTCTTGTTCCTCTTAGGGGGCAGCTGAACACAGGTGGCTGGGCTCCAGAGCTCAGGCTCTTACCTGGTAATCATTACTACTTCTGTTACAATAATTATGACCACTATTATCATATTATTATAAGTTTAGGGACTGCTCTGACTAGGGGAAGACTACATCTGTGTTCTCTTCTCTTTTCATCTAGAAAAACTCAATGAACCTTTAAGAATTTGAACATCAAAGGAAAAGTTAATTTAAAGAGAAACTAGAGTTTGCTGAAGAGCATTCTGGAGGAGGCCTGTTGATGGGCTTAATTTTGCCTATTAGATGCCAAAAGCCAAGGAAGCCTGCTGGTTCTGGTTGAAATGAAGGAAGCACATTACCTACACTGTCTTTCCCCAGTGATCAGAGTGGAAAAACCTGGACAGAGACGTGAAACCAGACATGGGCTCTGCAAAGGGGATCAGGGAGGAAAACAAAACACAAGGACAAATACACTGGTGAGTTTTCTAAATTTATTTTTGCTTTGCATATTTCTTCTCTCTCTCTCTCTCTCTCTTTCTTTCTGTACTGGGGATTGAACCCAGGGGTGCTTAACCACTAAGCCACATCCCCAGCCTTTTTTTTTGCATTTTATTTAAAGGACAGGGTTTTGCTGAGTTGTTTAGGGCCTCACTAAGTTGCTGAGATTGGCTCTGAACTCACAATCCTCCTGCCTCAGCCTCCAAGCCACTGGGATTACAGGCATGTGACACCACGCCTGGCTTCTTCACATATTTCTGATTTAGACTCTGTGGCTTAAATCCCAGAACTGTGCAGCAGGTGGGAAGAGAAATAGCTCCAAAAAAAACCCTCTCTTTCTGATGAGAAGCTGAGAAAGGGATCTCTTGCGGGGGAAGGAGGGGGGCAAACAGAAGGAGAGAAATGCCCTGTTTTGGTTTTTGTTTTCTTCTCTCCCAAACCCCTCTCCATGGCAGTCATGAAGCAGGTGCCTAAAACTCTTGAGAAGGAAAGCTCTTTCTGCTTGAAAAAGAAACTAAGGAAAGAGACCCATGGAAACTGGAGAGGGCGGTACCTGAAGGAGGAGGGAGCTGAGGTGGTCTTCGAAGCCCCGGGTCCAACCTAAGCTGCACGTGCACGAAACTGACTTGAAATACCATACCAAAGGCTTCAAGAACTGAACTACAGTGCAGATGGAACGGAATGGCCCCTGGAGTGTGCATGCTTGGGCTGGATCTGGATAGTACTGCAAGGCCTTTGAAAACTGAACTGGCATTTGAACCACAGCTCATAGAGGGTAAGCTGGAATCTGAGGCTTCAACACAACTGGGTTGATTTCCTGATTCAAACAGCCAGGTGCAGCAGGGCACACCTGTGATGCCAGTGACTCAGGAGGCTGAGGCAGGAGGATTATGTTCAAAGCCAGTCTCAGCAACTCAGTGAGACCCTAAGCAACTCAGTGAGACCCTGTCTCTAAATAAAATACAAAAAAGGGCTGGGGGTGTGGCTCAGTGGTAATGTGCCCCTGAGTTCAACCCCTGGTACCAAAAACCAAAACAAACAAAAAACCCCTAACAATACTGACATTCTTCAGAAGATTTTAACAGGATCTAGTATCTTGTAATATAATATTCAAAATGCCCAGGACACAATCCAAAACTATTTGACATACAAAGAAACAGGAAAAGCAAGGTACAAGGGGAAAGACAATCAACAGATAGATACCAACCCAAAATGAGGCAGATATTGTCATTATTAGACAATATTTTAACTGTTTTGATTTTGATACTGAGGATTAAAAACTAGGGCAAAGATTTTAAAGCAGTTAACCTATCCATGTTCCATGAAGTAAATGTGAACACTCTTGAAATAAATGGAAAATAGAAATTCTCTGTAGAGAAAAAAAAAGCTGAAAAACTAAACAGAAATTTTAGAACTACAAAACATATTAGCTAAAGTCAAAAGACTATCTGGGGGCTGGGGATGTGGCTCAAGCGGTAGCGCGCTCGCCTAGCATGCGTGCGGCCTGGGTTCGATCCTCAGCAGCACCACATACCAACAAAGATGTTGTGTCCGCCGAGAACTTAGGAAAAATAAATAAATGTTAAAATTCTCTCTCTCTGTCCCCCTCTCTCTCTCACTCTCTCTTTAAAAAAAAAAAAAACAAACAACAAAAAAAAAACTATCTGGATGGGATCACTAGTAGGATGGAGATGATGGGAAAAAAACAGTGCTAGAATTATAGAATGATCTAATCAGAACAAGAATAATAAAGAATCAGCTTGCTAAGAAAACATAACAATCCCAAATCTGCATGAACCTAATAATGGAGCTTCAAAATGCATGAAGAAAAACTGATGATAGAACTGAAAAGGGAAAAAGACAAGTTGAAAATTATGGTCCTAGACTTGCACACTCCTCCCCAGTGATCAATAGAACCAATCAGATGGAAAATCAATAAAGATCCGGAAACCCTGAACACTACCACTAACCTAACTGGCATTTTTAGAATTCTCCACCCAATAAGAACAAAACCTATACTCCTTTCAGATGTACATGGAATATTCACCAAGGAGGTCATATCCCAGGGTTTTAACAAACTTTAACAAACTTAATAGAATTGAAATCATACAAAGTTTGTGCTCTGACTATGCCGGAATTAAACTAGAAACCAATAACAGAAAAGCATCTGAAAAATGTCCAAATACACATTGTCTAAATAACTCATAAATCAGAGGAATTCTCAAGGGAAATTAAAAATAATCTAAATTAAATGAAAATAAAAAATACAACAATATAAAATTCAAACCTAAAGGAAGAGGGAATGTCATGGTTTGGATGTGAGGTGTCGCCCAAAAGCTCCTGTGTGAGACAATGCAAGAACTTCAGAGGTGGAATGATTAGTTTATGAGAATTTTAACCTTATCAGTGAATTAATCCACTGATATGGATTAACTGGTTGGTAACTGCAGGCAGGCAGGGTGTGGCTAGAGGAAATAGGCCTCTGGGAATGTGCCTTTGGGGTTTATATTTTGTCCTTGGTGACTGGAGCTCGCTCTTTCTCCCTCTGCTCCCTGGCTGTGGGGTCCTGAGCTGCTTCCCTCTGCCCTGCCCTCCTGCCATGGTGCTCTGCCTCCCCTCAGGCCGGAGCTGTGGAGTCAGCTGACCACAGACTGAACCTCTGAAAACCATGAGCCGAAATACACTTTTTTCTGCTTTGAATTGTTCTTGTCAGGGGCTGGGGATGTGGCTCAAGCGGAATGCGCTCCTCTGGCATGCGTGCGGCCCGGGTTCGATCCTCAGCACCACATACCAACAAAGATGTTGTGTCCTCCGAGAACTAAAAAATAAAAATTCTCTCTCTCTTTCCTCTCTCTCAAATAAATAAATAAATAAATTGTTCTTGTCAGGTCTTCTGGTCATAGTAACCCAAAGCTGAGAACAGGGAGGAAGCAGAAATGAGTAAATTAAAAACAGAAAAATGATAGAGAAAAATCAAGGATAGGAAAATTGGGTTCTTTGAAGAGACTAATAAAACTGATGACTCTAATCGGATTGCAGGGCGGGATGAGAGGAGATTCGAATTACTGATATTTGAAATGAAAGCAGAGATGTTACTACAATCCAACAGACTTTAAACGGTTAATAAAGGAGCTGGGTGTCCCTCAGTGGTCTACCCTTGCCCAGCCATTGTGTAGCCCTAGGGATTCAATCCCCAGCACAGGACAAGAAGGAGGAAAGAAAAAGGCTAACAAAGGAGCACCATGATCATCTCTGTGCACATAATTTCTACAATTCTGATAAAATGACGTAGCAATTCTTTTTTTGTTTTTAATTTCTTTTTGTTTGTCAGTGGGCCTTCATGTATTTATTGATTTAAACGTGGTGTTGAGATTTGAACCTAGTGCCTGCACATGCTAGGAAAATGCTCTACCACTGAGCCACAACCCCAGCCTAGGGGGACCAATTCTTTGAAAGATACAAACTACCAAAACTCATGCAAGAAGAAACAGATAACCTGAAGAGTCCTATAGCTATCTCATAAGTTAATTTTTTAGTTTACAACATTCTAAAAAAAAAAAGGCCTCAGGCCCAAGGCAGTGACTCACATCTGTCATCTCAGCAACTCAAGAGGCTGAGGCAGGAGGATCACAAGTTCAAAGCCAGTCTCAGCATCTTAGTGAGGCCCTGAAAAAAAAGACTGGGGATGTGGCTCAGTGGTAAAGCACCCCTGGATTCAATCTCCGTATCCCCCCACCCTGCTACCAAGAAAAAGAAAAAAAGAAAGAAAGAAAGAAAGAAAACCTCAGGCCCGGATGGTTTCATCAAACATTTAAGATATACATACATCTATATGATCTCTTCTAGAAAATGAAAGCCCTCTCCATTCATTTTATGAAGCCAGTGTGGTCCTGATACCAAAACCAGACTAAAGCAGTATAAGAAAATTATAGGCCAATATTCCTCATGAGCATAAATACAATAATCTTCCACAAAATATTAGCAAGTTGTGCGTGTGTGTGTATGTGTGTGTGTGTGTGTGTGTGTGTATCAAGACCATAGCGTGTGGGGTTTATTCAGTAAGTTTGGTTAAACATTTAAAAATCAATGTAATCGAAACATGATTAAAGAAGAAAAATCCAGCAAAAGGTACAGAGAAACAACTGAAAAAATTCAACATTCATTTAGGACAAAAATTCAGCCAAGTAGGAATAGAGGGGAACTTCCTTGTCCTTCCCTACCTTAGAGAAACGAAAACTTATTTTCATACTCACACAGATGTTGCACACAGAGGTTTACAGCAGCATGACACATACTGCTGCTCCAAACTAGAAACACCCCAAATTTCCTCCCAGTGAGCGGAGAAGCAGTGTGTTCTGCAATAACAAGGCACAACCCCTGACACTGTGCACACATATTGCTAAGTGAAAGAAACCAGTTTCCAGTCTCCAGAGGTGGCATACTGGGCTGGGGATGCAGCTCAGAGGCAGTATACTTGTCTAGCATGTGTGATGCCCTAGGTTCCATCCCCAGCACCCCAAAGAAAGAAGAACTTTTTTTCTTATTTATGTGGAAACAATAAAACTATAATTACAAAGAACAGATCAGTGGATGCCAAGGGTAAGAAGGAAAGGGGGAGTCTGAATACAAGGGGTAGTAGGAGGAATTTGGGGGGCGGTGAACGGATCTGTCTCCTGATTAAGGTGGTGCTTACAGGAATCTACACAAATGTTAAAACTCATGAAACTACAAATCTCGCCCACCATCCTGAAAAATAATGAACTTTACTCTATGTACATTTAATTTTTTTTTAATTGAGAAACTGCACACCCAAACTGGGCTATCTGGCTTTTCAAATTGGATTTGGCAATACTGGGCCCAATTCTCCCATGGAAACAATGTGGGAGTCCCAGCATGCACTTTATCCATTTATTTGTTTTGAGACAAGGTCTCACTGTGTTGTCCAGGCTGGCCTTAAACTTGTGATCCTCCTGCCTCAGCCTCCCAAGTAGCTGAGATCCCAAGTGTGTGCTGCCGTGCCTGCTCTGGCATGCTCTGACACAGGGCATAGCTCTGCTCCCTAGTTTGCTGCGTAACCCCTGAACCCAGTTCCCCAGGGCAGTTCCCACTGGTCATTCCCTGGGTCTGCTCCACAGCCCTGTGAGGCAGCTGGTCATTCTCTTCCTCAGCAGGAGACCAGAGGCAGCCCTGCCTCAAGGCATAGCAGCTAAGAGAGGAGGAAGAGGTGTCCCAAAGCCCCAGGGGTTCTGCTCCCCCTCAGAAAACTTCTCCTGAGTCCCTCCTGCTCCCCACAGGGGGCTCTGGCCCTCCCCTGGCCTCAGGGTGACATGTGCCCTGCTTGTTTACCCACTTTCCCCAGGTCCCCAGCTGCCTGATGTCAAGCATACAATGGGGCCCTGTACTCTAGAGCCCACAGGACAAAGGGCACAGGCAGCCACTGGTCATCTCCTTTCATTCTCAGGAAGGGAGGGCCAGGAAGCTGGGCAGGAATTCAGCAAAACCAGGGGCAGACATGGTCGAGGAAGGGTTCCCAAGAGGGTCCTAGCAGTCCCTGCAACCTGGGCTAGGTGGAAGAGTCTGCCTCTGTCCAGATCTCAATCTCCAACCACCCCCAACAAGCCCTCTCCCTCTGTGGGAAGGCACAGTCAGAACATTAAACCCTCTGTGACACATGCTATGTGTGTCACTCACTTCATGACCTTGGGTGAGTCACAGTATCTCTCTGGCTTCAGTTTGCATATCTATAACATCCAGCTCCCAGGGCCATTGTGTGGATTAAAGGAGACCATGTCAGAGTAAAGATTAAAGAACATTTTTGTGTGTGTGTGCGTGTGTGTGATGCTGGGGATTGAACCCAGGGCCTTGTGCATGCGAGGCAAGCACTCTACCAACTGAGCTTTATCCCCAGCCCAAGATTCAAGAACACTGAAGATTGCAGAGTGCCATGGAAATATCAGGTGCAAAAGGTATACAACAAGGGACCGGAGCCTGGCGTGGTGGCGTATGCCTGCAATTCCAGCTACTTGGGAGGCTGAGGCAGGAGGACCACAAGTTCAAAGCCTGCCTGGGCAACTTAGCAAAATAATAAATAAAAAGGAGGGTTAGGGTGTGGCTTAGTGGGAGAGCACCCAGAGGTTC